ATACATATATTTTTTTTTAAAATTAGTAGTTAATTTATATTACGTGATTGTTTTATATGTCTTATGTGTGATTGTAATATCGAAGAAGATGGAAATCAAGATAACATAGGGGAAAAAGATTCCAGGAGCAATTCGTCGAGCAAAGATGATGAACGAATTAAATGTTTGAAAAACAAGCTGCAACGAGTTCAAACAAAACTTTGTGAATCTAGAAACACATGCGCTTCGCTTCGGCAAGAGATTAATAAAGCACAAAAGGTATTTGTGTTCTTGTTGCTCTATAAGTTCGTTTAGTATCAGATTAATAGCTAATATGTAGAAGAAGCCAAAGAAGTCAGTGTTCAATTATTTTTGAGAAGTGAAAAATGATAAAGATTTTAGGATCTTCGTAACTCGTAAATATTTATATAATAAAAACGCGAGATATATTTTCGGTCTTCATCTGTTAGCAAAAAACGGCACGAACTTTCCGTTCAACCCAATATTATATTTATTTTTTTATCACTTGATTGAAGATTCTAAATTTCTCTATATGGAGTTATCACTAAGAATACAAGTCTCAGTTATTGTACAGCGAAGTGGGTGAAAATGTCAACATCAGCATACTTTCGAGTGTACCGGGTGGTTGGCGTGGACGAGCTGAGCAAATTCGAAATCTGCAACAGAAAGTGGCAGAACTGCAAATCAGATTATCTGAACACGAGAAATCACAGAAAGAATCTTCCGGTAGGCGAAAAGAATTATAAAGTCTCATCCGTATTTAGATTGACTCTTTTTGCAATTATATAATTATTTTTATTTTAAATTATTTTTTACATATTACTTTATTTTATGCCCAATTTGTTCGTGTATATATATTTATAGTTAAGTTGGATTATTTATAATTGCACAATTTGTATAATTGAAACTCTTATAATCGTGCCCATTTATTTTCTTGCAACCTAGCTATTTATTTAGTTATTCTAGATCGACAAAATATGGCAAATCTCCGAATTGCTGAAAAGGAAAGACGGCAACAGATCGAAAATACAGCGAAGGAACTCAGACAAGCAGAAGTAGCGTTGGAGACTTCGAAGAGGAAGCTTGATGCTTCCAAAGCGAGAATAAAAGTATTGGAACACGAACTAAATATTGCGAAGGGAAACATTGCAATGCTGAACGAAAAAAGATCTCACGATGATCGTCTGATCGACGCGTTGAATGTGAGTGATAGAAGAGATTTAATCTAGTAAAGAATAAATTGCAAATAAAAGTGTCTAGTTAGTGTTATGATAAGATTTGTTTGTAGCATATAGTATATTGTTAAAATTTTTTTAATGGAAATGATATGTTATCAGGAACGATTGAAAATTATCGAGGCAAGATATCAAGAACGCGAAATGGAAGTACAGAATAAGGAACATAAGATCGAACGTGAGAATATGAATATTAAGAACGAGCTGCGAGCAACACAATTGCACGTCGATCAGTTATGCAGAAGATTGGAGGAACGCGAGATCGAGATCGATAAGTTAAAGTCAGTACATATATAATATAGTATATATATAATATATGCACCTTCATATAAAAAATGTTTTATAATGTGTAAAATCATTCTTGATCGCGAAAAATCGATCCGGTGAATATGGATGATACTTAACGATTTTTTCTCCTACTGGAAGATTTTATTTGTATGATTTCTCATATTCGCATATACAATCTGATTTTCAGTTATACCGTTTCAATAAACAAACATATGTGTACGTGTTTGTTCCTCAATTTTAGAAATGGTATCATGTCGAATGATTCTTTGAAGTGTCGAACCTCGCTTCGTTCAGATCTCCGGCCAAAAGAGCGCCAAATTAGTCCACTTACTAGTCCGCGAAGTTCAGGCGAACCAAACGAATATGTAACCTTGGCTCTAGCTGCCGAAGCCGAAAGGGTGAGACTATTAGAACTAGTAACTGTGCTCAATCAACGATTGGATAAAGAAAGAAACGAAGCAAATGCGCTTATAGTAAGCTATGAAATTCGTATTAAATTTGTTAGAAAATTCTAAGATAATTTATTTGAAGAGATGTACAAAATTTATGACGATTTATTAAATTAATCTTTTTAATTAAAATATTAAAATATATCCAATAAAAAATTCAACAAATCAATCTTATTTATTGATTTTATGTGGAATAGTTGAAATTTAATTGATAGATTATTACTTGACTAATTGTTAAATCGATATAAAGGAATCGAAATTGTATTTAAAACTGTATGAAAATTTTTGTAAATTTTTATGGAATTTGTAGAGTTTGATTGTTTATTTAAAGGAATTACTGCGCAAGGAAAAATATAAATGTGCGAAATTAGAGTCAAAATTGCGGAACTTGGAAAAAGAAAGAGTAGGACTTGCTAAAGTGGATTCTGGATATAGAGCAAAATCTTATACAAAAATGACATATCAAAAACCGGAAGAAGAAACCATCAATTCCGAAGAAGTTCGTTTCAAGTAAGTTAAATTATAAGTATATAAGTTATGTTATGATCAAAAAATTTGCTTCATCTTTCTTTTTAATTCAAACATGATTTTTATGGGAAAACAATGTGTGTACTAGGCATTTTTTATCTGTCGTTTCCTATCTTTATTTGACATAGAATCGAATTATTAGAAGAGGAGTGTCTCGCCCTGAAGGCTAGATTAGATACTGTACAGCAGGACAAAATCTCAGATCTTGCCATGTACAAACGAATGCTCGATCAAGCTCGAAAAACGTTCAAAGATGCGTGCAGGTAAATCTCTAAATCCTTTATTTATCGTACATTTAAATATACGCAAGCAAAATTTAAATTCTGTTTAGTAACCGTACATGTGTGTGAATATGCATGTATGCTTTTGCAAAGGACAATTAGCTAATCTTACGATGCTACTTTCCAATACGGCCTTCTAGAAATAGATTCTCGTGTAAGAAGTGCAGACGGGACCGAACATCTATTTTTAGATTTTCATGCAGTGCCTATTGCTGCTGTGAAATGTATAGCGTGTAAAAAATATATGTTATAATTTTTTTCTATCTACTCACATATAGCAATTGTTAAATACTGCCATTATTTTTTAAAGCAATTAAAAAAATTATTAGTTTATTTAATATCGATTACATGCATGGTTATTCTTAGCAATATTAAAGAAATATTCATTTTAAATAATATACCACTTTTTTCATCATTCATATTTTTCTTTTCGATCGTTTATATTTTTCCTATATTTTTAATCGAAGTAACGTAAGACTAATTTAATCAATTTTTTACTATTATCTTTCTATCAGAATCATAAATATTTCTTTTTAGGAATAAACCGTCAGTCGCCGGTGGAAGTCGTTCTACGATAACAATTTAAAGAAGAAAAAGGGGAACAAGAAAAAACGAGCTAGTACACGGAAAATAAATTTCAGACTTTAACTTCAGGCAGACCTATTTTCGCGGAGGAAAAATAATTCTATGTTATGGATAAAATAAAACATTCTTACACACGGCAGTCGCTTGCGATCGGAATAGATGTAGTAGCAACAAAGCCGCGGCGCGCGGTGATGTAACTGGGACACGAGATAAGGTGCAACGCCTCCACGTAAACCCGCGTGACATCGTCGGAACAAAACTCACAGTTTCGTTTCCACCTCGCGCGTCGTTCCTCTTCATTCCCTCTTTACACCGCTCTGATATTTACCTCGGCCAATTCGTTTACTCTCCATTGATATAGCGACGGCCGTAAATTCATCCCGTTTCTCGTTACTCAAGAGTAGAACGCGAGACGAATCTCAATCTTACACTCGAATCTAGTCGGGAGTTTGAAACTTTCTGATGACAATGCGTCTCAAGAGCGTTCAAATAAGCTTATATATCGCGACACGATATAAATAGCAAAATGAAAAAATTCCATATACATGTATGCCTATATTTTTATATAAGATGTTTTATAAAGTGTAACTTCGTATATCGATATGCTTATTCTATGTATCTACAAAATAAATAAAATTTTCTACCCAAATAGTTGTTTGAATGATAGAACGAGAATAATTCATTTTGTATGCTTAAATTTTGACTTTTATGTATATTCTTCAAATATGCAACTTATCATGTATTCTAGATTTGTAAGATTATAGTACCATGTGTCTCAAAAATTAAATCGTTTATTGAATTGCACTAAAATTTCTGATGTTCTATTTAGCATTGTATAGTTAACGTAACTACATCAGGAGAAAGAGAGAAAGAGAAAGAGAGAGGACATCCATTTTACATAACGTTCCATCAATAGCAATACGCGCCTGCAAAGTGTATTCTACTATTCTGATCAATCCCAAGTTCCATCACCATCTTATAATTCTTGTTCTTGTATAAAATAATTAATACTCGAAATTGTAGGTATTTAATTTTCTCATATGATCAATTTTATGCGTTATAATGCGTTTAAATTTTCAAAAATTTATAACATACATGTATTTTTTACATATTTCGAATAATCAGAAGCGGGAGCTGCGTTAATTTACTATAATATTTTTATCGTAAACGTTCTTAAGTGAATATTAAAATGCTATAGATGTCTAATTTACGATTTTTAATATTTGAATGGCTCGAGATCAAACACATATTTTCTTCTCTTGTTTGATACTATAAAGTACTAAAAATTAATAGAAAATTAAAATTAATTAAAAACAGTTTAAAATTAAAATATTAGAAAAGTAGATACTTGAACACCTTCCTAAAAATGAAGAGTCGCCAAAGCGATTCCAAATACCTACCGGATGTATATCGGCGAATAGCGGGTGGCGCTTCACGAGAACTTTTCGTCATCATCATCGTCGTCGTTGAGCGAGCTGGGCGTGTTTCCGATGGTGCTTAAGCTCGCCGCCGACAGGTGTGGACTTTACAGGTGTTGAACCTCCTGGCTGATAAGGAATGAGCCCGTGACGTCAGATCGGCGCGGGTAGAGTATATGAGTCGACGCCGTGGGATGTCCACGTCACTCGTTCTTGAACCTCCTTCGTCCGCTCATTCCGTTAAGTCGTTCGCCGCGAATTTTTCCGCCATATCGCCGACCGTGATCAGCGCCCTGGTATCACGCCGATCAACATCATCCGGAGGTTCGCCGGAACCGGAGTCTGCCGCAGCGCGGTGATTGATCCCGCGGCTTCATCAGATTTTTGCAAGGTAAGCTAGATGGATTGCGTGAGTGGTCCATCATCGAGGGATTGGTTTAGAATTCGGATATCGGAACGAATGGCGCCAACGATCTAATAGTATAATATCGAAGCGAATGGACGAACAATTTAAATATATTTAAAAGCCATTTCAATTTTCTATTCACACATATTTTTTATATACTCTTTGTAAGTCTTTTAGATTTCCATGTGGTTTGGAAAGTATGAGAGTTGGGTTGTAGGATAAAGATAGATATCAATCGGTACACATCGATATGATAAGACCGATTGCACCTTCGGTTTTCTCATAAAGTCTTATGGGTTCACGGAACCGGTGCTCTCTTTTTTTTCTGAAAATAAATTTTCTCACTTGCTCGTGTTCGTCTTTTCATATGCAAATACAACAGAACAATCGTGCGTTCGGAGCAATACGAAACGTACGCTCCATTTTTATTACGTAACACGCGAGGTCGTCACCAATACTCATCGGCCTATGGAGATGATAATTTCGAGATATGCGCATGTCAACCCTAACGATGCCGAAATATTTTTTACCGGTACCGGTTAATTGCGACTGATTTAATGTTCGATGACGTACAAGTGAAAAAAGAAATAACTTTACGTTCAATTATTGCATTTCTATTGTGTGCCATAATTATGTATATCAAACTGAGAAGTTAAACCGATTATACTTAATTGGTCGGACTACTAATTTTTCATTTCGTAAGTTAATAACAAACAGGATTTCGAGAGACTTGCTAAGATGAACTTTAAAATAATTTTAAAAATCACAGATGTTAAAAAAATTATTATTTCTGATTTTATACATTTGTGTAAAATGTTCCCTTTATCTTCTAAATATTAAATTCAAAATAGATACCGCTTCCTTTCTGCAGTATTGTTAAACACGATTAATGATGATATTTGCCAAATAGGGCAAAAATATTAATAACAAATAATTAATTTGATTCTCGTCAATAACAAGTTGCTTAATTATCGATACAATACTTATAGAATTAGAATTCAGATTAAATAGTTATATATTGCCGCTTGGCAATTATAAATTAAATTTTGATTTGTTAGCGAGCATTTAACCTTGTATCTATCGCTCATTTAAAGTTTATCAAAACGTAACCAAAAAATTTCTGTGCTACATAATTGAAATTTGAAATCATTTATAATAAACAGAAAAAATTATACAAAATATTAAAATTCCAGAGAATATATTTACAAAAGTTATGTATAATAACATAATTTAGTATTAAATGTAGTAAAAAATATGTAGCGCAAAATAAAATGATATTTTAATGTCCAAATATGACAAATTTTATACGTTTTCTATTCAGTTAATAGGTAATAATTTTAACAATTCATCTGTGTGATATAAAAATTATTCATTATATCCATGTTAAAAAGACGCGTCACTTGCAGCCACTAACAATAAGCTACACACACATACAACACGCTTCATTTTTCTTATTTTTTTTTTTTTATAGAGAGTTACATGTATATTAACTATATTAAAAAATTAACTAACGTATTAATAAAATGGAATAATAGAATATTTATTTAAAAACTCTGATATATATTTAAAAGGAAGAAAATTTGCTTCCTGTTATTTTCAATCTACGACAAATTATTACAATTTAACGACTTGTTAATGTTCGGTGAAGGTGATGTCAAAATGATCGATAATGAATATGTAAAATTAACAGGCAAACAAATGCGTAACTTCTCATTAAGGTATCAAAATTGTTAGGTAATCAATCAGAATAATTTAGACGTAATTTTTTGAAAGTCTTTTATTAACAAGCTTCATTATGAAAATTTCGAGATATAAGCATTTTGTAAAAAATAATTGCGTATCATAAATTTACAATATTATAAATGATAAAACATGAAAAAATCGGTTCTATCTCTTTAGACTTTTCAAATAATGTAAGTTAGATAGACAATATTTCTATTATTTAAAAAATATTTTATTATACACATATAGTATAATTTGTTTTCGTTCTTTAATATTTATATTTGGAATTTTTTATAATGATAATATATCAATTAAATTAATTA